ACGGAAGAAATTTTACTTTTTTCTTCAGAAGTCTCTGCTTCCAAAATTCAACACTTTAAATGATCCTAGAATTTTTAAGTCACAAAAAACCCAAAACCAAACTAGTGCTGATGACCACAATTTCACTGAAATGAGAAAGATCTGAGAAAGAAATAAAGGACAAGTTTCTCAGAAGACATGACCTGGCCTGATACAAAATCCATCCCTCCTCACCCATGCAAAAAGCTGTGCCATAGCCAGGAGAAGCTCCTTACCCTATTCTCCAGTTGTTCACAGTGTGCATCTTGCTGGGGTGGTGGGGGTGGTAATACTTCTACTACTTGCTGTTTCCCCCACCAAGAACAGTCAAAATCTCAGCTATTTCTAGAACACTCAAGTTCAGCAGATGGCTCTAATCTTAATACCAATTGGTAGATTTTTGAAAAAATAATCATTAAGTGTTCGTGTGTCTCTTTATTTTTCTTTTGATATTAATTTATTCTTTCCTGGAATAGATCAGAGATAATCTAAAGCAAGTGAGTCCAACTTGAGTCAGAAAGCCAAAGTGAAACCTATCCTGCATTTCTGTCCTGCTTATGCTGAGGTATGCAATATTTGACTCTGTACAGGAGTAATGTTATGGAGGAAACATCATCTTAATTATTGTCAAGCAAGGGAAGCCTGAATTCCTTGAGAAAAGCTCTTAGACATAAAACTTATAAAACAGCCTCACTGAAACTTCTTCATTTCCCTGATGCATCTCGATAACCTTCAACTATGACTGTTTATTTCAGAGAAAGCAAGGAACTATTTCTTATTTTATAATATTAATTATTCTTTGTATTATTTTCTATTCTTGTGTTATTGTTTGTATTTTTAGTTTCCAGCTGGGAGCTCTCGTTCTGTATTCCTTCAAAGCAAGACATACACTAAAAAATAATATTTGCCATATAACTCTCAATTTTATGCACTTTGGCATTATTTATATTACGTAATTTAATGCAATGCATTTCAGAGACCTCAACCTTTGGAGACATTTTACTAGTAAGAGGCAGAAAGTCGTATCTGAAGTTATAGCTCAGGACATTTCAGATGACTTCTGGTCTTTGGTATGCTAAAAGAAGTCTGAGGCTTCTGGTCTGTAATCTCACAGTACTTCCCAATGCTGGGCAGGAGAACTCAAAGAGAGCAGCTGACTGAAGAGATTGGAAATACTGATACGAAAGAAGGGCGGGAAAATGCCTTGCAGCATGGGCTGCATAAATCCTTCTTCAAGGCAAAGATTTCCTGTTAGGTCAACACAAAGCAGACAAATGCAAGTGCATAAAACTGTTTTAGGCCTTAAATTTACTCAGCGGATACCCCCAGTGTCCCAAATGTCAGGCCGATACTCTTGATGCTGAGGGCAAGGTAAAACTGAATGTGAATAAAGATGTTGAATCATTACAAATTCAGTTATTTCAGTAAAACCAGAGCAGGCATGGGACAGCACAGAAGTGGGTCTTGCAATGCAAGAGGAAAAAATAAGGACAAGGGTACATCAGTGCCTAGCCACTATAGTGATGTGGTACAGACCATTGTCCCTGTTAAGGAAAAAAATATAAAAACTGCATGTAGGTCTCCCCTGATGGTGTTAAGAGAATGTATTATCAAAAGCTATGGTACAAATACAGGATTTCCATGCCACTTACATACATTATTTACATTCTTCAGTCATCAGTAACCTCTCTTCATTATAGCTATAAAATTAAATATAGTTTCTTACATAAAAAACCCCTAACCTTATAGCTGTATTTTCACTTCAATAAATCATCCCTTGTTTACAGGACTGTTGATCAAAGAGGAAACTGCTAAATCTTTTCAAGCAAGAAAGGGTCAGTGCAGGCTGTCAGTGAGGTGTGATCACTCTGTCTCTGCAGCACTGAAAACTGTGCTGTAATAACAAAGAATCAAAACATAATTAGCTTTGTTCCAAGGGACCGGACAAGCATTGCAAATTTGGGAATTTCTGCCCCTTTTACTCTTCTCAAACACTACCACCATGGTCATTAATAAATTCAGATAATTTACCTTTTATGGCAGTTTCAACAGAAAAACAACTATATTGGTTTTTACTATTAAAATGAAAGCACTTTTACCCCCTGCAGCACACACTGGATGACTGATTCCTCCTCCCCTGTGGCTTTTCTAGTTCTGGGCTACAGCAATGACTTTCCACTGCCACTAATATATTCTGTGACTGTATTCCTTGCAAGAGACTACCAATTCCCATGGCCCAATCCTCTAATTGCTATGGAATAAAAATGAAAAAAACAACAAACCGCAAACCAACTTTCTTAATAAGTTTACTGCTGTTGTAGCTATTTCATTTCTATGTCGTGTTTGAACTTTGCTATTTAAAATACAAAAGTCCTGTTTGATATGATGATTTGGAAGTGCCAAGTGTAAAACCTGAAAACTGGGTGTCACAGTTGTTTTCATGTGAGTAGATATCAAAACAAAGGCAGCATAATCTTGCTGCAAATTCAGCAATAATGCAGCACAAAAAAAAAAAAAGTTTGCATTACTTTATGTTTTCAGCAAGATAAAGAAATATATTATTCTATGAATAATTTAAAAATAAAATTTAGATAAAATCTTGTTCTCTTTAAGGAAATCTAACAGTCCAGCATTTGGACCACAAAAGAGGACAGACAATACAGATAATGGATCATTGATCTGTGGGGCTAACTGAAATAAAATAAAAAAAAAAATCACAAAAGCTGAAAAATCTATCCTAAATATTTGCTTTTCTCCAATCTGCTGGGAGATGAGCATTTTAAATTCATGGCAACATAATAAATCACTTTATAAGCTCATTCTGCCTATCTTTTCCCAAGTGGTAAATGGTTTACAGGGAAATTCCATTTTATTGAAATGCAATTGATATTAATACCACTTTCAAAAACAGTTTTTATTCCAGGTCTGCTCCTTCAAGCTTCAATTTTACTTACTGCAGCTAGAACTCTGAAAGAGTTCTTCTTTGGTTTTCATTTTCAGACTTTCTTGTAAGAGTAAGAAATGTTCAAGTAACGTCCAAAATTAGACTGAGGGAAGCTGGGGATGAATTGGAAAAGGAATCCAGATTTTCTCCCTACTTACAGGAGAAATAGACACAAATTAACTGAACATTTCAATTCAGGAGCATATCGAGCACACGCCTGGTCATCATGACCACATGCCATCAACTCATTGCTTTTTTCAAAATTTAAACCTGGAGCTGCAGGATTCTGATGACTGACTTTGGAATTAGCCACATGGTGGTAAGTTCACTGCTGTTAGAGCCTGGCCAGGGCCACTCAGCCCCTGTGACAGAGAGACCTGACAAACCAATCACTCAGCCAATGGACCTCGCACCGTATTCCACTGAGAGTGTTCACACACTGCTGGGATTTTCATAAGCAAAATGCAGGTAGCTCCATAAATCAGTGCACTAGTGCTTACATCATATGGTAGACTACTAAGCTTTGTCACACTACACTGGACTTGCAGTAGTACAGATTTGGGATGTGATCCTCTATTAATATGCCCTGTCATATGCATTGACTACACCAGCCGAGACCATGGCTAGGTGGCTAGAAACCAAAAGCATTCTGAACAGCTCTTTTTTCATGGAAGCATTTGTTGATCTAAACATGATCCTGCAAAAATTAAAACATTTAAGCTTTAGGTCATGGGGTACCAAAGAGTTTTTCAGTGATCAAAACTATGAAATGTGCCCATACTTACCTACATTTCCCATTTCAACTGCTGGGATTGTTCTACTGGGGTTCTTTTTAGAGTTATTTTGGATTGTTTTTGAAAAAATTCTAAACAAAAGAAAAAAAATATCAGGACATACATCTCCCATAATTCTCCTCCACAGGATTACGCTGAAGGGAGATAGGTTTTCTCTGTTCAGTTCAGAGAAAGTTCAATTTATTTAGCCAGCTGTTTGCCCAGTTTGCTTGAATGCCATGCTACATGTGCAAATTTTCACACCAGGCTACACCTGGAACTTCATAGGCCAGATAAAATTTTTAATTGTGTTACAGGTAAATGACTCAATTCAGAGCCTCTTCTAGGCGGATTACAGACTGTTTCCAAGGCTGGGAACAGATGTAAATTTAGGAATGAACTGCATTTTGCACTGATTCACAGCCCTTCCAATCCACTGAGTTCAATGGGACCAGAAGTAAAGCAATATTTGGCCTACCACTTCAGCTGTTTCAGTACAACTTTCTTAGGGATCCTTTACATAATGAGTTGTCAGACCTCAGAGAAAATGTTGTCCCATTCACTGTAAAATAGGAAGGTCCACAGAGGAAAACAGCTGTGTTAGAGAACCACACAAACGGCATTAAGGCTACCTAGTTTGACGTTTTCAACCCTTTTTGTTTTCCTCTGCAAACAATGACAGTTTCAATAAGATCTGAAGTAATACTCTTAACAAATAATACACTAGTCTGTCATATGGTTAATATTAACGTCTCTCTATTCAAACATGCTGAAAACTGAATAGAACAGTTAACATATAACAGTCACACATCCTTTGCTGAGTACAAGATCGCATCTCTAACACGAACCGAAGATATCCTCACCATTTCAGATCTTCATCTGTCATTCACTTAGACATTTCATTCTCTTAAATACATTGCTTGTCCCCTCTTTCTGGGTCTTTCAGGGGTGCTGCGTGAACACATTCACTCCATAAAGGCATTGCTTATGATATGGTTCTTTCTTCAACTGAAATCTTGTTGTGTGTTTCCATTATTTTGCCAGAGGTGAAACTGCAGAGTTTGGAAGAATTTGGGGGTGAGGAGGTCTTACGTCTGGATTGAAAAGATTTAATTCTGAAACATCAATTTGGGCAGGATTCTGCACATTTTAGCAGAGAGACCATCTGGATGAAATTAATGGTGAAAAATTTATTAATAGTGATCATACTTTACAAATTGTTGAACCAGAGCTTTATATAGTAACCAGCTTTTATATTACAGGTATGTTCACAGGGCTTATGGGCAGAAGCAAGCTCACTTTGCTCATGCCCTCAGATGGTGGGATGTAAACGCTGTTAACAGAAAAGTCATATGACTGTAGGGATGCAAAGCTGAGCCCCACCTAATACACCCTGTCTTTCAGAGGATTTATCTAGTGTGGGCGTGGGACCACACCCACCACAGTCAGCTCAATTCACACAGTGAGACTGTGCCCAGCCACAACATACAGCAGAAAAACATCAGGGTGAGACCAAACCTCATGGCGATCCACCTCACTGATACAACAAAAGCTCTGTGTCTTTGCAGAAGGGAGTCCAAACAAGACAGGCTCCATCCTGGGGCACAGAACAACAGTTTGCCCTCAAATATATTTCTACTGAAAACACACAGCAAAGATTACAGCCATAGAAAGTTCTGTAAACAAGACAATTTCATCAACTTTATCTTTAAAAGAAACCCCGAAATCAAAACCACAAAAGGAACCCAAAATAAGACTTGCTGAATGAAGACTGTTAATTTTTTTTTACTGCCTTAACAAAAAAAATGACATACACCTTCAGCATTTCTTTTCCAAATTTACTTGACAGAGGTTAAAATATTGCTTTATTCTGACTCAACATACAACAGCACAGCGTGATCGATTGTGCTATTTTGGGAAGTCTTGAGACTTGTGAACTAGAAAGTCTGGGGCACATTAATAAATTTAACCATTAATTTGCTGCAAAGGAATGTTTAAATACATTCTGTATATACTGTTTTTTTAAAATCAATCTTCTGACATTAACCAGGGAAGGCTTTCGCAATTATTTATTATAGTTGACTTTTCCCCCCAAGAATAAGCAGATATTTTAATACCAATAAAACCAGTAATATGTGTCACCAAACCCAACTCATTGCACTATTGGCATATTTTGTTACAATTTCTGGGGGAAAGAGGGACTAAAAAGAAAGATAATGGAAAAAGTGCTATAATGTGACTGGGATACAGCAGCCAGGTAATGACACTTCTTCTCTAAGACCTTGATCCCCTGCAGGGAGTGACTTGGTGGAAACCATCTGCTCTTATACAGCCCCATTAGACTCAGATCTGTGCATGCCTGCAGGTCTGTCCATACTGAATCATCTGCAGGGTTGAAACTTTAAAGTTCACAAGCCTAAGCCATAATTAATTAAAGTAACTGGAGAACTGAATGCAGGAACAAATTAGGCATAGTGAACACTTATCAGCTGGATTTTGATCATATTGGATCTCCCTGACTCTTCTCTGAACAACCCATAATAAAAGGTAAGTTAAAAAAAAATATACACAGACACCAAGAAGTGCTCCTTGAGAGCTTACAAATGCCTTCAAAGTGTAAAAGTTTAGAAATGTTTAGGGATGCTAACGAACAACAGAGTTTATGGTGCCACTCAAAAAAAACCCAAGTCAGAAACCAAAACCACACCTGTTGTAATACACACTTCTGCATTTTCCCTTGTTCTTCCTAACTCTCCACCAAGGCAGCTCTGGTAGGCAAAGCTCAGAAGATGGAGCAGCCACCGGCTTCTGACCACTGAATCTCTACAGAACCCAATCCCTCTCCACGCTTGGCAAAACCCAGAGCTCCTCAATGATTCCATTGACTTTCTTGGCTGACCGACACATCAAATTAAGGTCAAGAGTTAAGAATATGTTCAGTTTAGGGATGTCCTCATTCCACAGCAGGTACCAGAACTCAGAAGTAGGAATCTGTGTGCCTGTTTCTGTGGTATGAACCTGGAATCAAGAGGAGAGGGGGAGAGGGGATTGGACCTGTGCTGGGCTCACGGGACTTGGTCCCCAGGGTCTGAATCCCTGGCCAGTAGCTCGCTGCAGCACTGCTCTGAAACCACAAATGCATCTAAGAATGGTCTTGGACTTTACTGAAAAGAAGATGCATAGCCTAAGACTTTGGACAGTTGAACGGGACCATGGTAAAATCCTCTGTAACTGAAACTGTGTAATCCTGCCTAGAAAGCACCTGATGCACGCTTCATCCCTCCTGGAACTTTTCCCTTAAAAAAATATTTTGTTAAAAAACACTATGATATGAGGGCGATTGACTATTTGGTTTCTTCTAAGTAGATGCTCTTAAATTAATGCATATAAATAATTTGTATTTAACTTCCTCCCTTCCTGTTTAGCAAAGCATCGAGCGCACAGATCTCTCATTTCCCCTCCCACAACCCCCACACGAAGTCACTTGGTCAATACTGAGTCTCTTTGCGTTTCGTTTTTTAAGACAAACTGCGCCTCTCGCTCCGACTTGGCCAAGGGGCTCATGGGCAGAAAGGCCGTGTTTTCACTCGCGCTGCTCTCTGCGTCCGCGCTCGCCAGGTCATAGTCCTCCGACCGCCGCGCGTCCGTCAGAATCCGGATCTGCTCCTGCACAGTTTCTAGCAATACTTTCACTTCGTGTTGTTCTGCTATAAGACAATTACTGACAGGGGAACTCACATTGACAAGTTCAGCGGAATAGGAGTTTTTGCACCATTTGATGCCTGTTACTTCAGAAACGTTTTGCATTTGCATGCAGGCTTCGTCCAAGCCCACAGACGGGATGATGGGAACGGAGTTGGCCCTTGAAGATGAATAGCCGACCAAGTCCTTCTGATCCACGTTATTAAAATATGGGGTTGTCTCTCTTGAAGGCAGTTGCATATTTATTGAAGTATTCTGAGGAGTTTTTAAACCACTGGATGAATACCTGGAAAGAGTAAAAAGAGGTTTTTGTTTTACATCAAGTGGTCAGATGCAACTGGCAGCAGGGACACTGAGGTTTAGTGAACTGTGCTGAAAGGATACACATGATTTTTCCCTTCCACTAGGAGCACTTGGCAGTGGTGGGGCCCTGGGGAAAACAATAGGCTCTGGAGACAGCTTTTGATTCTCAGATCTGCCAGTGGCAAACCACTGCTTTTCCCTCAGTCTCATTTTGCCCACCAGTACATGAGAGTAATGAAAATTCCTTTTTAAAAGATTTCAGAAGTTATAATGTATTATTAATTTGCTTTGAAATTAAATTTGACATTCCATTCGTACATTTCTGAATCCAGAAATGGATTGATACTTTCTTCAATGTCAGAACTCTCAATGTCAAATGGTTATTTTAGGAAAACACTTAAAAAAGATGCAGATAAAAAGAACTTTAAACACACATGGCTGTATAGTCTTTGTTTACATAGAAATGATTGTACTCCCCTTCAAACAATCAGAGCATCTAAGTGCAGTGTACCTCTGAAAAATGTCTATTTTTTCAATAGCCTTTACCATAATGTTGGCCTGGTTTGTTTTATTAGATTTCATCTGGAAATAGAGCTAATATATATTAGGCTTGAGCAAATGTCTGTGTTCTCTTGATATTGTAATACTGTTTAAAAAAACCCCAATCCTTTATCTTCCACTAATACATCTCACAGTATGATTTTATTTATTGTGAGGCAACTTGGTGAAATTTATCAGCATTTCCATTTTGTTTCAAAGCCAAATTCATTATTCTGATAGGGAAATGTTTTGTTTACAAAAAATAGTTAAAAAAAAAAAGAAATGGAAAGTATACTAAATATAAAATAAAGGAAACAATGAAAAAAAAAAAAAAGATGTTTCCCATCTGAAAGTAGTATTACTAGAAATATGGTGCTCTAAGAGTTACTACATCTACTAGTCATGTTACTAAGGACCACAGACATTACCTCAGTACCAGAATATACTTTATTTATAATCAGCTTATCACTATTTAATAAGGCAAGCTAATAGTAAATCTAACATGTTTTATCCATGGATGAGGACAGCAACATTTAGACCTGGTGTGGAGGTAAGTGCTCTGACCTCAAGGGTATTATTCTGAAAATCCTGCTGGACCTCACTAGGGATATCCTTCTACTCATATGTACCTCGCTGCTTTTTGGTACGGGCAGAAAAAGAGCTAATGAAAAGAAACTGAATCCCGTGAAACAGCCATAGTGCAGCATTAGCACATAATGGAAATTAACTGGAAAGGCTTCCTTTGGCCCATCCTCCCTGCAAGGCGTCAGCCAGGAGACAGCAGGAGGTATCTTCAGGCTCGTTTCCAGCAGAGTGCCACTGACCTGTAATTAACTCGTCTGTGGTGGCACTGCGTTTGTACAAGTGCCTGACACATATTCATGTGTACACATGCACACATGAAGGTCTGTACAGAGGTCTCCAGGCATCCCCAAAAGAGCAGCACATGCATCTAGGAGCTCTGTGATAAGGAGGAGGTGTTGTGAACTTTGCTGCCATGTGATGGAAAGAGATAGTGCTTTGGGAAGTGGGACTCCAGGGAATAATCGAGCAAACAGCCTTTTTGGATATGTGCTAGAATTTCCTGTCCACGCTATACAGATGCAGCTATATATTTTATCTGAGCCAGCTTTGGTTAATTACATTTGCACTGTGCTTAGACACACCTGCAGCCATTCATGGAGGAGCTTTTTAGAACACTTCTCAAGACTCATGAATGAAATACTAATTGGGGATATTATTCCTGAGGGAGGACAATTAAAAAAAAAATAAATGAAAACAAAACAGTGCAGACCTTTGGGTTGTGCCCATTCTTGTTTCCTTTGCTTATATATAATTGTTCAAACGACTATAGCTGGAGAGATCGCATCAGTTGCATTAGTCCCTTTTTTGGTAATTCAGGCCCTAAATATATTCTGGGCTGCACCCTGAAAACAAAGGGAGTGAATGTTTTTAATGAATTTCACATGCAATGGATGTTTTATATGGATGATATATAAGCAAAAACAAGAAAAGATTGAATTAAAATGGATTTGGTGAGAAAACAGTAACATTTGCCAGTTCTATAACAGAGATTCAATTATTCCTTGTATTTTGAAAACTAACTGGCAGCAGCAGTAACATGTAACGCAATGCCTGGCATATTTCTATAATATTTTTTGAAATACAGCTAAACATACCAACTTTATGCCAGAATTACATGTTTCTGCCTTGTGCTCACAGGGCTTACAAAGAGGGACTGAGGTTGAATTAAAGTGCATACACTGTATGCAACAGGTGAGGTATTAAACCGGAAGGGGTATTACATCTAAACCACGTGAGACTCAGCTTTTGGTTAATTACAAACTGATCCATGCTTCTATGTGTGACACCAGACTGCTGCTGTTTTCAATAGACTGAGACTCAGAACTATAATTGCAGAACCTTAATTACATTTTCCTATCATTAACTTTCCCAGAACCATAGTTCCTCCAAAGAAATATATCTGTTTTTTTATCTGAAAAATTATTTTGTCTGAATAAATTAATTCATCTGCATGTGTTTCAAAGTGCAGTTCTCTCTCCACCCTCCTCCTAAAACCACGCAACAAAAGAAAAGCAAACATTTATAAATATTCAACAGTAATTAATTATGTTATAGTGTTTGAGTCTAAATTAAAGAATGAAACTGAAAGAAGCATAATAATTTTTTACTGCTGACCCTTCCTGCCAGGTCCCTGACTGCTGGAGATCAAACCACTGTCCACTTCACTGCATGTCAACTCACAACACCCTCAGGGACTGGAACCCGTCTGAGACATAACTGACACAGAGGTGACTTCTTTAAGCCACTCATTTCAAGCAGGTTTTTCTACTCTTTCAAGTAATACACTGAATAAATAACTGATATTACCTGTATTTGACTCAAACAATATTAGATCGTATTGCAAATATCACGATTTGGTGCTTTTTGAAGGCAGCAAAAGCTTTCCTCTCAACGTGGGATGTGAAGAGAAGCACTTTTGCAGGAGGAACAAAGACTATCAGCTAAATTATCCTCTTTTCTATCAAGTATAAACACACAAAATCTGACTAAACTTCAGCCAGAACTGCTGATGGACAAAGTTCAGAATGCTCAGAGAATTAGGGAGATAAACCACTTTGATTTGTGCATGCCTATAAGGAAAGATGGAGGTTTAAAGGAGAAGAAAGGAAGCAGTGTAACTTCTGCAAAGGACAAGGGAACTTTTTATTTGGGCTGGAAATCCAATGAGAATACCAACACTGTGAAACCAGCAGATATTTAGATGCTAAACATCCTTAGTGCACAAAATAGGCATGAAGTGCTGAGCAGACTGAGGTCAGAAGATCACAGGCTCGTCCCAATATCAAACTTTGGCAGAACTGAAAATTTAAAATACAGACCAGTACAAGACGATACTTGTAGTATCACACACTGGTTTCCTAGAGAAAAGAAAATACAACTACCCACAGCTTTGCTGTTTTGTATCTCACTTCTCTCTAGGAGAAGACTACAGCACTCCCTAGAGCCCATGTTATAAGACATGTCTGCTGGAGAGGGAAGGCTGTCAGCCTGTTCCTTTCAGGAAGGGTTGCAATTTCAGTAACAATTTTCACAAGGAATTATATGCACATTATCATACAAATGAACAATAATACATTTACTGCAAGAGGTAATAAAAACAATTTTTTTCTCAGAAGAAGCAAATAGTAACAATGACAGAAGCCTGAGTCAAACTTATTTAAAAGAAGGCACCAGATACACAAACCTTTTGCTGCTTTGCTTTCCCCCTCCCCAGGTAAGCCCTGCTCTTGGTCTGTCTTTCCTAATTACTGTGGCTAGCTTTGTTAGGTAGATTCATCCACAAAACAGTGAGCCAAGGGCAGCACTGGAGGATGGGTGCCTACACATGTGATGACAACCACATACACACACGTAACAATGTTGTGGCTGTCATTGCCAGGAGATCAGAGTGGTTAGTGATAATAGCTCCTTTCATCCTTAAGGAAAATATAACACATGGGTAACCTCAGTTCTGCACTTCATAAAGCCAGTTATGACACAAAACCCTGCAGCTCCCTTCTCATAGTGTAACTCTTCACTGTGACTTACAGGTGTGCACATGAAACCGGTGGGTTTTTCATTCTATTCCAGATATCACTCCTACTTTTATATATATGATATGCTTGTAATGATCCTGCAAAGTCTTTGGAAATCTATAGAGATATGTAAATATTACACAAAATACCTCAGCAATTGCAAAAGACTTCAAAGGCAACTGCAGGTGCTCAGGAGCACTTCTGAAATTCAGACTTTATGTACAGTTGGAGTTCACAGTCAATGTTCTAACAAACTGAATTAAAAAAGGAAAAAAAATAGTGGAATTGTTTTTCAAAGACAAACCTATGTGAAGTGATTGGTCTTCAGTCTATAGAAAACAAACTTCACAATGTACATTGATTTATTAAAAAAAGTTGAACTTCTTAATTCTCTTATTTGCCCAGTGCTGATTGATGGAAGAAAAAAATGCTATCCATAAATTACTAGAACATCATAGCACTGCTAGAAAAAACAGTTATAAGGAGTAATGTTGCCAATCACTTACAGTTTGTTCTGATCCCTCTCTCTACAGCCTTTGAAATGCTTAAAAAAAAGCAGCCAGCCAAATAAAAACATATTACCTTCAAAGAGCCAGTATGCAGAAAACATTCTTTTGCTTTCAGCAGCATAAAACCTGGGTCCACAGTATACTACAACAAAGCTGGAACATGGCAAAGCATATTAACCTCCCAACAGCAGCCACTCCCAAAGAGGCTCAGCTCAGTTATACTGTTACTTACCCGTGACAAGGTATTGTGTCCTGGTCTGTGATCCTTGACTCTTCTAGCTGTTGATATGCTGGTCCTGTAATTCCATTGAACCTACCCCGAGGCAAGGGAGGAGTCCTCCGAAAGGCATTTCGATGGAGCATCCCACTTTTCTGTCCTGGGCTGCAGCATGAAGAGAGACTTCTAGGAAAAACACCGAGAATACAGTAAAACTTATCACAACAACAGCATAAAATTCTGCAAAGTAAAGGTTCAGGATTAATAACACATGGATTACTGTTCTCATAAACTTTGTTGTGGTGGTCTATGATGGCAGTAGAAATTCTCTATGGAAATATAATACTATAATCCACCATTAGCTGCTGTTTATGCTGTATTTAATACATCACCTCTCTTCTCAGAATGAAAATAATTACCCAGTATATTAAATGTTTTCTTGCACTTGATGAAGGATGCTTCTTTTTTCCATGCTGCATATCATAATCCCACTACACAGAGTTACTTACTCCTCAGACAGTACAAACAAACAGCACAGCTCCATCATACCCACAGCTGAATTCAAAAATCAGATCTGAAACTGAGCCCATTACAGCCTACAATGTGCTGCTTCCTGATACAATAACACTAAATTGAGAAAAAAAGTGTAAGTGAACAATATAAGTGAAGTTTATGAACTGCAGCTTGAAGAAGCCATCTAAGACAAGTTTCCTCCACTTTGAACAAGATTTCTATATTGTTTTATTCTTGTTTCATATACAGATTGCTTTCCTGTTTGTATACATGGATCAATGCTGTGTTGTTACTTTATGTGATTTAATATAAACTTGAATTTCATAAAAACAAGTAGTAGTTTCATACTTATTTGAGAAAACTGCTTTTGTAAACATTTTTCTAGTGTTTTGGAAGGAGAATGGAATTTTTTTCATCTCATGCAGGAATTAAAAGGTATCAAGAATCCACAGTTTTGGTATGCAAACCATAAATTTAGCTTTTACTAAATCAAAAATATGGGAACACAGAATTAAGACAAGGTATAACCTATTCTTAATGTTAACAGGTCACAGTACTGCATGGTGTGACTGGCTATTCATTTTCCAGCTACTCCTACTTCTCTTGGCATCTTCTGGGTCTCAGAAATGCATGTGTTACCTAATATTCTGTTACATCTTTAATGATAACTTAAGATAGGGTTTGTAGATGCCTTTTACGAGTCATTATTTTTGGCTATGTGAATAATTCAAACTTTTGATAAAATTCAGCAATGCAAAAGACTTTTGATAAGTTTGCTTCTTTTTTTCCTATTATAGTATGACTTAAAAATAATTTGCATTTTTTAACTAGTGGGATCTTGGACAAATTAAAACCAACCTTTTCCGTCCAAAGTTAAAATAAGAAATAAATTCAATGGTCTCTTATCCTACTGCTCAAGCTAGCAGTGTTCCATCACCACCTTGGCTCTGTTTTCTTCTACACCTTTATTTTTCTATTGCTTTTTAACTGAAAAGATCAATAACCCATAGCAATAGCATTCCCTCCAGGGTTTTTGATGCTTCCTTAAATATATTTTTCCTTCGCTACTAAGGAGGCTGTGAAAAAACTTCTTTGAAAAAATGAAATACTGGCCTTTCAGTTCTGAAGGCTGAGTTCAAGTTGTGAGTTACAGTTCATATTCTGTAAAGTAACACCACCACAACACAAAATAATTGACCAATTCTGCTCAGGAGAGTCTCAGATTATTATAGCAGAGGATCTCAAAAGATGCAGCTGAATGAATAATTTGTGATGGATAAGGAAAGTCAGGGTTGTTTACTTACTGAAGCATATTCATCAATGTTCTACAAAAGTAAAAAAATTGATTATCAGACTTTAGACTGATTACAAATATTTGAAACTAGAAATTTTAAATTTTTAATTGTGGTTGATTTGATGCCCTTGTGCATCCTCCTTGCTAGAGGAGAGCACACAGTCTCCTATCTAATAATATGCACATGCAAATTCACAAAAGCTCCTCATTTGTAATGGACGTAATTTCAACACATACAGGTGTACCTGAGGTAAAAGCTATAAACTGCAGCAAAGATGTAGATAAATCTGGACTTCAGTTTGCACTGAAAGTCTCACTGCTCCATGGAGCACTAGATGCCAGGGGCTGTTAAAGGTGTGTGTGCTGGTCAGACTGAAGGGATCTGGCACGTGCCAACACTGTCCTGCAACCACAGTGCTTCCAGCAGTGACAGTGCTGAAGCAACCAATTTGTTACCAGTGGGAGGTTCTCATGCTTTCAACATTTCTGACAGAAAAAAAGGGGGGAAAAATGAACGGAAATCATTTGTGGTCATGGACAAGATGAATTCACTAAGGACTGGGAAATACTTGCAGACAGCACAGCTGTAAGCTGCAGGATAACTCATTTCTTCAAGCACCAAAGACAATAACAATTTCTGTTAAAAGTTCTATGAAAAGGTAACTCCAGCATAACAAAGCTCTTCCTTTCTCACAAAACTGATCCGAACATCAGCAACATCTTCCTCTAAAAGTGTCAATACAGTCCCTCTCAGACTTCTGCTCTAGCACTCACATGAAGATTTTCTCCCTCTCAGGCAAACAATGCCTTTCGGATTTCTTCATGGACTTTATTGTCCTTTACCCATCATTATGGTTTCTTCCTCCCTGCACTCCACTCTAATTGGGTAAAAGAAATCAGCCCACATAACTGAGCCATTCAATAATTTAGACCAATACATAAAGCTGTAGCAGATATGTCCTTAAAATCTATTAATCAATTACTCCAGAATAAAAAAAATCAGAATATGCATGAACTGGTTCACAAGTGATGCATAAAGCAGAGTGAAATATAGTTCTGATGAATTAATGGTTTGAAAAACGCACTTAATTAAGAACTTGGCATTCATTGTTGCAGGTTGCTTTCAGTGAAAATTTTCTTTTAGGTTGAGCAACCGAGTGGGAACAAAGTCTGTTCCTGCAGGTGGAGTATTCTCCTCTCGAGGCACATACACAACTCCCGAGTGCAGGTAACTGTGTTCATGAAGAGAAGACCAGCAGTATTTTTACAGTAACTCTGTGAATCTTCTTGTACTACTTTTTAGTTAATTACTAAACACAATTGATTTTACATCGCATTATGAACACATTAAGATGTAAATTTGCCAACAGAACATGAAAAACCTTAAAAAGAGATGCTTTCCAGCAGCCAGCCTATATCTACAAATCTAAGCATTGTTGATTCCATTCCATATTCTCGTATTCAGGAACAGCATGTGTAGGGGCTGATTCCAGACTTTGAAACTCTACATAAATTCTTCAAAGCTACCTATATCATCTGGTCACCACCCTTGTGAGAGATGCAACAGGAAAAGAAAACAGAGCATTCAAGGTACCTCAGTGGCACTAAGTTTAATCATCTGCCATAACTTTATCATATACTCCCTGTAGTGCACTGATCAACCTCCATCCTAAAACTACAATGATATGCAGGATACCACCACAGAAAGTTGTTCTATATTGAAAACTTTAAAACTTCTTTTTAGTTTACAGTTATTTCTGACAAATGTGCCATCATACTCCTTCACTTTGAATAGGTCTTTAACTCCTTGTTATCCTTTTTGAGATGTATTTATAAGCAGCAGTCACACACTCTTTCCAGTCTCCTGAATTGAATACTGACACAAGACAGTGTCAGTCTAACACTTTCCATAGAACATGGATCACTGACTCCTCATATTAGCTCATGAATGCAATTTGAGTCCATAATAATCAAGGGGCCATTTTAACCAGGTGAGATAATAGTGGTACATTCTCATGCTATATACAAATGAAGTGACAACAGTATCTCATGAAATGGTATTAATCTTTCTGACTCTCTGAAGAAGATGCTGTAATTAATACTTCCTCTCATCCCATACACCTTTTGCACAGCTGCATCACTTCGTGACTTAGTTATCCTTTAACAAGCAGTATATACTGAAACCTTTCTACCTCATTTGTTTCTTAAATTTTATTACCAGTTCCCAAATGCCTGACCTTGTATTTAGTACAGCTGAACTTCAATCCACCCCTGTTAGCCATCCTTTAAAGTTATGCCATTCACTCCTTATATCTAAATCTTTATCTGTACTGAGTCTGTGATTCTTAACTAATTTTTTCAGGATGTTCCAATTCTTTTTGTGCCAAAGTCATGCACAAAAACATTAAACAAAGTTTGCCCCCAACATTAACTAGTTCCTTGAGTGCTCCACTAGTGCTCCACTGTTGACTGTCTTCAGCCCAGCACTTACCTTTTCAACATAACTCCTCACTATCTCCCTCTTAACCACCTCTGTGTATCCACATTATAGTTTTTCTGTCTCTCCCTGCTTTCTCCCATTGAAGGCATTAGACACATGTGACAAGAGTGACTGGGACTGCGTGGAGATCGAGCTCACCTACACCAAATACAAAGAAAGTCATCAGTGATGTGTTGCAGGAGCTGCTGCTGGTAAACTAGTAAATATTTTTCGGCCTTTTTTCTATCTACTCCAAGAATCTGCTTCCCCCACATTTGTCCTAAAGCCTTGACTAGTCTAATTCAACATAACTGGCCCTCAGTTACTTCAATAAATTTTCCATACTCCTAAATATTTGATACTTGCTATTCTATCATCATATGTTACAGCTCCCATCTTTACAGATTTTGCTACTAGACTTCAAATTTCATGAGCTGGTTCTCCTTCCAGATTTCTTTGATCAGGATTAACCAAACCAACTTGACTTGAAAGCTTTGATTTCCACATTTTACTTCCACTTTGACTGCAGTAATGTCTATTTCCATACATTTGATTCTATTCCCATTCTGCCTCTGTCCTCAAATAACCATTCTAACTTAAAAAAAAAATGAAATATATTAATTCAGGATTGCCCTAACAGCTTCATATATTATTTTTGTCCCATCATCAGCTTTCCTTTTTCCTGTACAGTACTGTTTGTTGGTTTTGTTTTTTTTCTTCACAGCAGGAACAATTGATTGCTTTCAGTATTACCACTAATTCTTAACTCTCAATGAGTCCTGGAAATGTTCACTTCAAGCATGACTTCTTGCCCTCTGTGATATGGTTTGTTTCTTTCCATACACCCTATTCCTTTTAGACATTACTTTTAGTAAATTTCTGCAGAAAACTATGTTCTTTCTTTGGGAAAATACCATATTCCTTATGCTTTCTTTTCAGGTTTCCTCTGCCTTTTCATTCTTAGTTGCTTTAGTTTATCATTACTACTTCTTTGAAATTCAATAGCCTTATTTACAGAATAAGTTAAATTTACTCTTTAATTTAAACTGGATCAATTATATTGGAAGCATATAGATAAAATCCTTACCAAATGAAAAAAATTCTTTTTAGCATGGTTTTTGTGGTGTTAAAAGTTCATTAAAAATGAAAACACAAATTATTTTTAATTTTAGAGTAAGTTTATCCTATTTTGGTGGTTTTGTAAGACAATACAACCACTCCAGGCTGAAAGCATCTGCATTTGGCTTTCATCATGTTATTCTCTGAAATGAATCCCTTTAAAATCAATGATGACTGAATCAATGAATGAAAGTCAGGATGACTAATTACCAAGAAAACTGCTATTCAAAGGGATCCCAACTCAATCCCATAATTGACAAAACTCTAATTTGTTTCTATCTACTAGAAAATAAGACACTATGGGTTTTCTTCTTACCTAAATCAACAGATAATCCAAGATGAATTTTTGAGTAAATTGAACACTTTACAGGAAGTTTACTGATTAAACACACTTGTTGATTTTGAATTCTGACAGTATGAAGAGTTATTTTACATATGCAAGCAGATGATGTAACATTCTTCTACTGTTATATCAGTGCATAATACAGGCAAAATATTTTAGGAGGTTAATAATAATACAGGGAAAATATTTTTGGAGATTAAATTTCAGTTTTCAATTTAACCTCTGCATTAATTCTTTGCATGCAGCTGAGGTTGGTAGAGATGGAAAATTGCTGTTATCTACTAATCTGAATGAAAAATTATTTCTGTCAGTCACATTTCAGCAACTCCGAGTGATTCCCTATGTTGATAGTCTTACTGTCAGGCAAAAATTGTATTAGTTTTAGGAACTGGAAACAGCCAGTTCCCGATTTTAGGAAATGATAACCCACCATTTGTGTCCTTGAAAACACCAGCAGAGAAAAGAGGTCTGGATGCAGAACAAAATATTTTCTTAGCAAGCAGAAATAAAACAACAATGTAATTTAATGACAGCATAAAAGAGAGAACCTGCAGAGCTGTTATAATTTTTCCAGGCTCATGTCACGTCTGGAATGGAATGAAGGGATATTTAGGATAAAACATAATCCTGTTAAAAAAGTTTCCTCATTTGGCCACACTGACCATTTGTCCATACTGAACAATATTTAGAAACTAAAATAGGAAGCTGTCACATGGTGCATAAATTAAAGACAATCTTATAAGTCTTAGATGTTCAAGTCTGTTGCATGTTTCATAAAGCAAACAGGGCCTTTTATAATAAGTCTTAAATTATAAAACTGGAAAAGATTTTTTTATAAATTAACTAGTCATTCCACTTCTTAAATTAGTTCTGAAGTAAAGACATATCAAACTTGGATATTGCCATCATACTATTAAAGGTAAGGGAACGTCATTGTGTTTTTTCTAAACTTCACCTTGTGACTAAATGGCGATAAAATTCTACTCAGAACTTCTGAGTAGAACTTCTAGGCCACAGTCCCATAGTTCATATCTATGTTAAATAAAATTATTAAGTGTGTTTTGAAAATCTCTGTGTAATAAGGAATAAGACCTAAGAAATGGATCTGACATGACAGTTGGCATTATTTTTTTATGCCAAATTAAAGGCTTAAGTGAGGTAAAAGCAGACAGGACCTAAAATATCCCCTTCTGGCTCACATACTGCACTTTGTAGGTTAGGCAAATTATTCATTCAAATGAACAAGAACATGTAGCTGGCTGGGACACTGCAATGAAAAATGCAGCATATACTAGGCAGATCATATCCTCATGCAATCTGAGACTTTTGTTTTTTTGAAATAATTTAAAAAAATTATTCTTTTAATAAACAAGTCTTTCCCTCCAGATTATCTAGCTGAAAAAATTCCAGACTCATTTTTTTGCAGCCTTTTTTCTCTCTCTCTGTGCACCGAACCAGATGTTACCATTGCCATCTGACCAGCATTACTGCTTATACCAGACACCAGTTTAGTTTCTAGTCCTGCAGTGAAGCACCTGCACTCCTTCTCATCCAAAAAGGCTATAAGGATAATTCTCATCTGAATGCTATGCAGAGGTGGGTGACATTCCTCTTTTTCTTCCTCTTAGAAACAATCATTCAAACTTTTTTAAGCCTAGTTTTCAAAGGCCACCACGTTTTCATAAATAAGTCATTATTCATTTCAAGTATCATTTGTTTAAAAAAAGTAGTAAAAAAGGCTAGAAGTTTAGAACCAAGTCTTTCTGCAGCAAATGAGCCATTAACTTCACAAACATTGATAAAGAAAGTCTTGTTTTTAATGGTTTCTCATACTACAGCTGTTTCATTCACTGGTCTGTGTCTGCAGCTCCAATAGAGTCTTTAAATGCTTCCTCCAGGACTTTCACAAAACACAGATGAAGTTAGTAAGCACTGCTATTACCTTTTATGTCTGCAGCTATGAAAATGCTTGGACATCTGCTTAATCAGTGGGCTGAGGCTCTGCTGGTACCACACCAGTCAGCACCTCACCCAGTTCCAGCGCACAACAACCCTGCACACGCATCACCAGCTCAGTGACATCCCTCGGCAGCCAGCAAAGCTCTCACCAGACAGCCATTTGCTCACCTGTGTTGCTTGATGGGCTGAGTTCCTCTGTCAGGAGACAAGGCCTCTGGGAAAGACTGAGGGCCTGAAAAACTAGACTCCATAACCTTGTGCAGAATAGGCCCCGGATGCCTGTCTGGTTTTGAATACTGTAGCAGAGAGAATAAACTTAATTAATACTCAAAAGACAAAGCACACTGTTGATGCTATTCCATCTGAATTCATATTAGAATGGGGTAAGAAGTGCTCTAATGCAATTTTAAATCAAAATTAGGGATTGAAAGTAATACATTCATTCAGTACTGTTTACACAGCGGAAAGTACCAGTACTCATTATCCCCATTACGTTCTCCACATCAAAATGCTCATATCTGCATTAGCAGCAAAATTACGGACTGATCTGCCCATAATGATAAGGAACACTGTTTCTGTGCTTCTCCATGCAGAGACTGAGATCACAAAACACATCTCGGAGGACAGTCAGCAACTTCTTGGGTCCTTTGGTGATTTCAGTCAAACACTGCATTCATCAGCATGTACGACGATGAAAACCAAACTGAAACAGCATTTGTGTCATCAGATAAGCATGAAAAATATTTGAATCCTATCTGCAGAGCCAGATATCTCTTCTGAACAGGTCTGAAGCTTTTGACCTGGGAGTATCTGTGCTACTATGAACACTGTAAACATAATTCTTCCTGTGACAGGTGTAGGCGTAGGGCAGTCTCTGGGCACATACTGAGACACAGAGGTCTGCAAAGCAGACACCAGACATGAACAAGAACAGATTTTTTTCTTCTTGCTTTGTGATTCAACTGAAATTTCATTAAAAAAAAAAAAAAGAAAAAGAAAGAAAAAAAAAAAAGAAGAAGAAGAAGAAGAATCTGATCCTAAATGGAGCCAGAAAGTAAAAGTATAGAAAAAGCTGCACTTGGGCTTGTAAGAAGAATTCATGTTCTCAGTGGTTACTGGGCAATATCTCAGAGATATGAGAGGTTAACCCACATTTCCATTTAGGTATTAAAAATACATCACTCTGCAGATTTTTTACACTGCATTACAAAGACCTGCACTAAAACTAATTGCTCTGCTTTCCTTTCTGTACTGAGATTGTATTTTCAGATACCTAGATATCCATGTTATCTTCACAATAAATCGGTATTGAGGAAGCTATTACATGATTACATATTTTATAAAGAAATACAAATTAAAGTAGTCAAAATAACAGAAAAAATTGCAGTGGTAAAAAATGCCATATTATGGCATACACAATAGCCCAAAAATTCATGGAGAAGGTAGTAAGAATTCTTTCAAAATAAAGTTCTTCATAATTATTTTGTCTAACAAAAGACAAATAACTCCTTAAAAATACAGAATTATCTGATTCCCACTTATCTACAATTTTGTAGACTTCAGCAAGATAAAAAAGGAAAGTCACAGAAGATTATTCTCCTTTAAAAATGGGTTACATGTATGTTTAGTCCATCTACTCAGACTTCTTATGACTGATTTCTGTGGATAAAGTAACAGACCTTCACACTTTTCTCCAATGGTCTTCTCCACCTTTCTGTTGAAATATCCACATAAATGGGGCCAAAATCACTGCTGACATACATGAAGGCAAAGGTATGAGAGCAGCAATGTGCAAAATGTTGCCACACACATAAAGTAAACACAACTGAAGTAATAAGAAGCAGCATATTACACTCCCATTTCTTTCAGTTACCATGATCTTAGTTGGCACTTGTAAATGTTGTAGATAAAATATTCAGACAGAAGTATGACTTTTAAGGTCTGTGAAGGCTTTAAACTTTAATAGTTATCCTGCCAGCTGCAGAAATGAAACTGGCTTTGATTTGTGACCTGAATAAATCAATTTGAGCTCTGTTAAGAATGGGCTGCTAGTACCAAGAAGCTACTTCTGTTTTTTTTTCAGTTTGTTCATGAAAAAAAATTGAAGGTCTGAATGCCTTATAAGACCATGGGTATGATGTGAATTATGAAGAGCAATTAGAGATAAGCTGTGCCTTTCACTACATCCACATTTAAGGTGGATGTGGGCTGGAGCAGTGGTACACAGAGTTTTTCCTCATCACAACTGAGGAAAACCAGGACCCCAGAAGCTGCTCTGATGCTGATTAGCAAATGGTACTGAAGGTCCAACACCAAGAACCACTCTGGCACATTTTTTTCAAGGTATTTTTTGTCCCTAACCAAACATTTATGCCATTTTCAGATACACTAGTTATTACACAGTTATTGTAACAGTCATAACATTCATTACAATGAAAATATGAATCACAGTTTAAGTTGAGGGTGTGAATATACAGAGAATTTGAACAACGTAATTGAACATATTTGGATGTATCACATTATTTGTACATTTTAATAGGTTTAAACACAGTTGGGTTAATCCCTCTTAAGCTTAGTTTTAAGTGCCACATCCCTTCTGGAGAAAAATACCTTCATATTTTTGTGAAGAGTTTACACCAGTATCAGTTAGTGCTCCCAAAAGTATAGGATAGGATTATTCCCCAGACATATCCCAGCAGAGCTCATCCTGCTGCTTCCACAGCTCAGTTCTCACCTGGGCTGAGCTCTGTGGAGACCTCTGACTGTTCTGAGCTCCTGAATAATCAGCCATGATGGAGAATAAGCTGTGAAACACTTTCAAAGGGCTGTTTCCAGCATCACTGAAAGCTTATCTGTATTATACGGGTTTTTTAATGGTTTTATTGTCTTCTTGGTTAATTATCTGTGCTTGTTTGAGCAATTACTGAAAAACACTGGTGCATATGGCTAAATAAATTAAAGAATAATGATAGCTCTTAAAAAAAGTATTTTGCAAATTTTCAATTTTTCATGGTTTCATGGAGAAAATCATCTATTATGTACAATTACTGAATATTTTCACAATAAAATTCCACCCCCTGCTACTTAATGCTAAGTGAATCTGTGAAGGCAGCCTGAGCCAGGAAAGAAGCCTCTGCCACTGACCTACTGTATTACTGTGAGCACATAATTCCTCTGCTCCATGCTTTGTATTCCTCCTTCTAAAATGTAGGATTCTTGGATAACAAATGCCACTCGAATGCTACAGAACAGCTTGACACTGTTGTCCTAACGTTATGCAAATCAAAACACCCATCCCTCCCCCCCTGGCTTTACCTAGCCCTTCCCCCTCAATGGTTTTCCCAAAATAGTAAGAATAAAAGGTCCAGAAAGTCATGTGGTATTGCAAGAGAGGTGATGTGGGGATCTCATTTCAAAAACAACTGATAAGGCAGAAGGGTCAGCTTTAAATTACATTCAGAGAGGTCAACTCAAGGAGAAAAAGAGCCAGTGATATTCCTGGATGGGCTGATCTTGCACAAAAGCCCATCAGGTGGTACATTTAACATCCTTACAGCTGTTCCCATATGCTCTGTATGTTTTGTTGCCAACACTACCTCTAGACAGAGGACAATAAACTCAGGTTTGTCTATTCTGGCAGTGTTTCCTAAGTAGCCATGAGATATAAAAATGGGAATTTTGCTCTTGATCTTGGCTGATAAACCAAATCATAATTCAGGTAAAACAACAGACTAATCCTTTAAAAGATTTAAGTGTATCTGTTGCTCAACAGAATTGCAACAGAATGTGCAATACAGTAATTGCATGTCCATCGCAGTGACCAAAAATAACTTATTTCCTACTACTATCAACAAAAAGCAACAAGACATATAAAGAGCATATTTTAGCCTCTCATTATAAGAATATCAAAAACCTGGAGCTAGTGACTGCATGCTATTAAAAACAAATGTATTGAAAAGTGAAACCACACAGTACAGCACGAAAAGCATATTAGCCACCTCAGAAGGAAAGTGATGGGGGATTAATAGATCCACTTGGTACCACGGGAGAAGGTATTAAAAACCACAAAGGTGAAAAAGACCACTTTAAACAGCCGTGACAATTCTCAGAAACACTAAAGGGACGGTATGGTTTCACCCCCCCCTTTTTTTTTTTACCCCCATGACGCATTTGTCAAGTTGTGAGAATTTAAAGAAACTCTCTACTCAAGGTGGAAAAAGAAGGTAGCAATCAGGAGCCACCTCACCTCCTCCTGCCCCTGCATGGTGTGTGAGGGTGCACCGAGGACTTGTCTTTGTAAGGAGGGGGGGAAGCTGAGAATGACAATTTTCTGCTTTTTGCTTATGAGGAGATCAAACTGCTGCAGCCCCCTGGAGCAGAGTCTTTAAATCTCTCTTGGATAGAGTATAATCTCTTTGGGAAGGGGTACATAATACTTGGAAGACCTCAGTTTCATGCACTAGGTGAAATAAATCTGAATCTCCCGTGTACCTCAAAGATCCTGAATTAAAAACTGGCACATCTATCTCTTCCTGGTTGAAGAATTATAGCAAGATTACCAGTGCATTAGTCTCTAAATCCAAGAGGCTAGAAAGCCTAGCAAGAACAACCTAGCAAGAAATTAAGTGTGTTGCTGCCAGAATATTTGGGAAAAGCAGTGGACTTGAAGGAGATTCAGGAAATCCTAAGAGCTGTGTTCAAACAGTTATTTATGAACCCTGATTATAGTATTTTTCATCTAATTTGTACGTCTACAAAAGTAATGATATTGCTATGGAGAGAAACAGACTTGTTACAGGTGAGCACAATTACCACAATTACCACAACGAGCAGCAGGAGTTCAGACAGAACACAACTGTCCTGACAAAATCTGACCCTTTATTTCACTTCTCAGGATCACAACTGAGCAGAGGGAGGGAGTGGAGGAGACACACTGCATTTGAGTGTGGGAAGAAGAGACTGGTCAAGCTCTTTACAGCCACAAACCACTTGAAACACTCTCTGCTATACCCTGGGTCTTGGGAAATAAGTTAAACCTCTTTCTAGAACAACACAATATTTGGAAAGATAGATGGATCCTTTACTAAATATAGCAACCTCTCAGTCAAAAGGTGATGGCTCCTTCACAATAGTCATAAAGAATAAGAATCCTTATGCAACTATTCTCAGGCCTACACAAAAGTATTCTTCTCTTTCTTCTCTATAGAAGAAGAAAGAGCTGTGTGAAAAACCTGAAAGCATCTTGTCTATTCAAAACAGACAAGAGAAAAATACAGGAAAATCTTCTAGGGAAAGACACAAAGGTGACATAAATGGGAAAACTCTCTTGCTTGTAAGAGGAGCACGTGGCATGGGAAAAGAAACAGCTTCCAGGATTACATAAACCAAAATGCCAGACTGGGGGAGTAATCTCCAGAAAATAACTGTCTTAATTTATTTATCTATTAGCTCCTGGAAACAAAGAGAACTAAGATTTCTCCCCAGACCCCTGTGGTGGCAGCTGCAGATGGGAATGGCAGAGATCACACCCAGGCTGCAACCAACAGAAGGGAGCAGAGCCACAGGAGAGCTCTGTGCCCCACGCTGCTGCCTGGTCCTTTCCCACCCAGCAGATACACCCAGGGCAGATCTCTGGTCTCCGAGGGGGAGTCACTCAGCCATTCCTATGAAATACCTTTTCAAAGTTCTTTTTTCTGCTGCCTCACCATACCCCTGCCCTTTTTTTCTCCTCCAAGCTGCCAGGTTTTGTAAATATTTCATGAGCTGCCTGCATGAATTCCTGCACTAAAATCTTCCTAACAATAGAAACCATTATTACCCTGCACTGTTATGCTATATCCTGCACAAGGTCATTCTGTTTTTCTTCCTTAGTATCTTTGTTCCCAAAGGGAGAATGCATTAATGGCAAGGAGAAAACAGTGCCAAGCAGCCACAAGAACAAGAAAATGGTGTGTTAATTACCAGCACTGAAAATGACAGTCTGAACAGCATTAAGAACTGAAAAGCAAATTTGGATTAAAATAATAAATATAATGGTGGCTTTCAATCCCTTATGTCCAGAATCCACAAACTGCTACTTCAGTCATTATGGCTATTGCTAGAGCAAAAGAAAAAAACTGAAATAAAGGTTGTTGGTGTGTTTGTTAGCTGCTCAGGAGACATCAAACAGTTCATGGAAATGATGGGTTGACAAAATATAGCACTGAATTACAGTGAGAAAAAGGCAAAGAACATTTTCTTAGTGTTAACCAAGGCTTACTTTACATGATAGAACAAAAGGATCATGAACTTTACCTATTGTTGTCATCATTACAACCCAACAACACTCCCAACAGCTTTTTTTTTTTAGGGGCTAGAAATAATATATGACTGAATGAACTGAAAGTGAAATAAAAAAATTGCAAAAGGTTCCCCAAACTGTGATTATATCAATTTAGTGAAGCTATCTTCCTTCTTGAAATAGCATATTTTTCCTGCATTTCGAAGCATATCGTGAGTATATACAGGAGCATCACAATGGTATTCCTACAAAACAGAACTTAAAGTGAACATAAGCAATGCTCTGACAACTTCTCTGTCACATCAGGGAAGTTCTACTTACTCTAAATTGGTTAAAAGGGCTCATACTTATCTCTTACTTAATTGGATGTAAACTAGGAGTTAGTGGGCATGAGAGCTCACTTTTGCTAAACTCCCACTATTTTGATGGAATCTGGCAAATAAGGTAGTCATTCCTTTGAGCAATGCTAAGATACTTTAAAAAAAAAAAAGGAGTTAATAATTTAGAAAGGCTTTAACACATCTGTTATATTTTCCTATTATATTGCTACCAGGATCCTTCTGAGTTCTTCCAAAGACTTCGTTCAAAGTAAGACAGTATTAATTTAGTGTGTGACCAAGGGGGAAGATGACATTTATTGGAAAATAACTGATTGATTTAGCCCTGGATGCAAGGTATCTTCAAGCTCCTTATTTCAAATATGCTCTATGCACTTCAGGATTGTGAGACTGTATTAACTTACATATAACTACATACAGAAAATGACTAAATAAATTTCAGATTTACTTTGAACAAATGAATTTGTTTCTGTTATCTAAACTGCCTTTAACTAAAGACCCAGATAAACGAGACCATCTGCATGGTCTTCCCTTGGGCACTAGTTTATATGTGTAAATTTAGTTCCAGATTTTGAATTTACTCTGAATTAGCTGTGACAAATCTCTACATTTTTTCATGCAGGTTCATTTATTATTGGAAGACCTGACATCACTTAAGATCAAGGACCCCACTTCACCTATAACCAACATATATGAGCTATGGTATTGAAGGAAACTATATTAGTAATTTCCACTGCTAGATGCAGTGGAAAGCTCAGCAAAGTCTACTACTACATGAACGAAATGTACCAGAATCCATTGAAACAACTTCAGAAAAAAAATCCCTGCTTTCCATTAACAGGCCTGATAGAAAGCTTTTTATGCAAGAGGTGAGAATTCTTGTTCCCGTTGCTCAGATGCTAATAGCAGCATGAGGATGTGCTGCCATCAGCAGCAGGAACTCAGCCAGGCTATTAAGTGCTGTAGCTGGCAGCATTACTTACATTTTGCAGCTGGACTTGGCTTTGTGCCATACACTCCGACTTTGCCATCATGCTGGAAGCATTTAGGCTGTAGGTTTTCCTATTCTGTGTTTCTTTCAGCTGTTCATGAATTTGCTTTGTTTGTTTCCTGCAGAGAGAAATAAAATTCATGTAAGAAAGAGCTAACTTGATCTTCGACTATAGCCACGATATTTTTATAGCCATAGTTCCCTTTGTTCAAAACTTCACTGTATTAGATGAGCCAGCTGAGCTAATTCACCAGTGTCTTATATTTCAATGCAGTGGTTGTTTTTTGGCAAGGCTTATAAGAGGGGAAAAAAAAGAGCTCTTCTGTTTTAAAATATCTTCTATTCTCAGATTACCATAATAGCATGCTAGTTGTTTTAGTGCAGAATTTTGTAAGATCCTCTATCACATATTTAACAATAGCTTGCAAGTAGGTCTGAATAATAAAAAAGCATTTTGCTCTGATTTGGAAAAAATATTTTGGCAAATATAACAGGCATTAGCCCCTGTTGGCTATGAAAACTGATGAAGAATCAAAAATTTCTGCTAGCTGATTAGGCTTGACCTATAACCCATCCTGTACAGAGCAGCTTTTACTTACATGCTTAAACCTCAAAGAAAACCATCAGTCTGGCATCTGAGGCTGTGTAGTTGACATATTATACTACTATTCACAATGTCAGAGCTAGGAATACCACTGGATGAATAGCTTGTATCATTCAGGAGATAACTACATTGTTAATAAAGACACTGTTTCTGCCACACTACATTGACAAACTGAGTTATTAAGTTCTGCACATGACAGAGGATATGAGACAGCAAACTTTAAATATTACTTTTATCTTCTGCAAACAGATATCTCAGCTGGGCAAAAACTGTTAGCAAAATATATGTAAGGCCTTTTTATCAGCTTTTGATAAGCTACATTGTCTTGGACTATCAGTTTTAAACAATCATGAGAAATAACTTCACAACACCACTTTATTTCTCTCCTTCCTTCCCTTCTTTCTTTTTTCTCCCCAGAAAATGCATTTCCAGCAGTGAACCTCCAACAGCCCTGAAAACCACCCACCAAGGTCAAGGACTTGCCAGCAGCAGCATCATTTTATTATGCCACCAGCAGCTTTTGGACAGCAATGGGTTCAGAGCCAAATTTCAGAAGGATGTTATTTCAGGGAATAAGAAATAAAAAAAATACAGCCTTTCTATACTGAAATTGAAGTTTTAGCAAAAAACTTTAGCAACATTTTGAAAAATTTCTGGTGATTTGACTGCTGAAAGCTTTGTGACATGGTCAAGCTTGACAGCATCTTACTTGAGTCAGGCCAATGAATGTTACACTGAATGATTAATAAAAGTAATTTTAACTTCACAGTGGAGTTTGTGTCTACTGCAGGAAAGCATAAGAAACTAGAGGAAAATGACTTAATTAGGTGGTCAGTGGGGGAGCCTGTGAGAAAGGACAAGCTCCCTCAGTATGAAAGCAAGAGATGAAAAGTATCCCAGTTCAGACACTCAATTTTAATAGTAAAGTTTTTAATATATTAAAATAAATACATGGAATTTCCCCTGCCTTTGAGTTCCTTAGTTTTGATTCAACATGTCAATGTAAGCAAATGCTTCCATTCATCAAACTGTAAGTACCTGCTTAGAAGTAAGTATTCGTTATAGCATATTTTCTGAGTACAGGTCATAAACTTTAATAAATCTTGGACTGTAGACATATCTCTTAGGCTTTCTATTTATGTCCTTTTTTTAAAAAGCATGGCAAATGAAAAAGAATGAATTTACGTTGTAAACATGGTACAAATATGAGTGACATAATTTGGGTATAGCTAGGAACTCATAATTAGTAAAATTTACAGAGTTGGGTGAGGATATAATTTCCCAAGCAAAAAATCTTCTTAAAACTTTCAAAATTCTTCCTTACCCAAAACTTCTGAAGTTAATACTGGAATAATCTAAACAGATAAATAATCTGAAGGATTATAATGTCAAATTACATTAGTCAGTTGATTCTGAAACAATCTCTTTTTAATACCTACTAATTTTTGAAACCAATGAAATTGAATAATTTACTTTGTAAAATATCAAAATGAGCTCTTTAGCTTTTAATAAAATTCCAGGGGAGATCCATAAAAGCAACTTTAGCATTTGTATGAGTAACTATTTTCTGAACAGCTAAGTTACACACAACTGAGGAAATAGGCATATCTATTCATATATCCTAGTGGAAAGCCAGCCACCTGCATGTTGGTCTTCAGAATGGTTATGGAACATCCAAGGGTTTTGAGTGGAGACTTCATATAAGGTATAAACAATGATAGTGAAACATGATCACAGCATCAGACTTTGGGAATGTCTCCAATACATAAAAAATTATTACAATTTAATCAGGAAAATAACAAAACAATTTTGGGAACTCTAATTTGGATTTATGTAGAAAACCTGGGTTTAGAGTTGTTTCTATGTATATAAACACCTGTAAGTAAAACTGGAATATTCAGCTTCACTACTGCAATCGTTAAGATTACAATTGAGATTCCTGAAGATAATTTGCTGAGAAAAACAATCTAATCATTAATTTCCTTTTATGTTCATGCAACCTAACATTAATATTAGTTTTTTGCATATTTATTTTTCCAAACTATAGGATGCACAGTTATAAAACTAGAAACTATTAATTATTCAAAGTTACTGATTAATAAATTCATTTTATAATTTTTGTTTTCAAAACAAATGGGCCTTATGTGTTCTACTTTAGAGTTATATGGCAACAAAGTGTTGTTACTTCAGCAAGATATAAAGTCACTAGTCATTTATAAAAGTCTAAGCTGTAAAGGGCAGCCCATTACTGTACTCTTCGTCTGTTGCTAACACTTCCAGCACTTTCTTGATTAACCTAAAAGGAATAATTAGAAGGGCATAGAGTTTAATTATAGTCCTAAACTTCCTCAGATTGATTCTATTTTAAAGGACTTTTAATTCAATGGTGCATAGGGAAGTGCCTATTTCTAGCAGATGGTATTAGAGAATTGTCAGACTAAGAAACTGTGGGTCAGTGTCTTCAGGGAGGCTTTTTTCTTAACAGGTCCACTATTCAAAATTTCTGTATCTATTAGCAATATTTTATATATTTTTTATACATCAAATGAAACCCAAGGATAATCCCCCATGCAGGAGGAATGCTTTGATAACATTCAGGCATAGTCAGGATACGTATACCCGAGAAAGAAGTTCCCGAATATCTGCTGACTAAAAGCTAACACATGATAAACATTGAGGCACTTCAAATTTGTTGGGTTTTACAGCCTTAAGACACTGCTCAATGTTACATTTACAATACTATTTTACATGGTCTCTATGAGACCCAGTCTAGACACTTTTACTTTTTGGACAGTGCTAGATGGAGCCACAGCCAGGGCGTTAGGGATTGATTAGTATCTCACCATTACTCTACTCAAATATTTTATAAGACCTCCTGACTGAACCAGAGGGGCTCATTTTCTCATAACTCTTCAAAATTCAGTTCCTGGCATAAGCACACTTCAACTCTTCCCTGTACTTCTCAACTATCATATTTATAATGCAGATAAAATCCCAAACCCAACACCCCACCTCCTCCGGAGTTATGACGCACTATTGTCCTGTGAGTCCATCTTTGAAGTGTTATTTCCACTCATTATTTTCAGTCATAGCTCTCCTCACCACCTCATCAAAGTCATGGTATTTTGAAGGCTGTTCCAGCCCAGCTCTGCACCACTCCTTACAACAGTGCCAAACCAAGGGGAACACAAGTGAATAACAGAGGGGCATTTTATTCACAGTGTGCTCTGTCACTGACTGCATGTTCTTCCTACTGACAATCCCGTTCTGCCTTTTCTGAATCTCTCTTCTTCAGCAAAACCCCCAAGCCTTTCCAGGTAGATTCTCTCTCGCTCGCTCTTCTGCAGATCTAAAATGCATAATGACATTTCTAATGCAGTACAAAAATGGCTGTCTCTGCTTACAAATTACACTACAATAAAGGAGTCTGCAGAGAGGAACTGTCCTGCCTGTCTGTCCTTCCCAGCTAGCATCACTGTCATACTGGATGCCCAAAAAACAATCAAACAAAATCTCTCAAGACATTAGAACAGGTAGGAGTGTTCAGCAAAAAAACATGAACCACTCAAATATCCACCCAAGTCACGCACGAACTACCCCTGCAGTCTGAGGGAAAGAAAAAGGGGGGAAAAAAGACCTGGTGACTTTTCCAACTTCTTTTTTTTGTTCCTTTTTTTTTTCTTCCTGACAGAAATATCAATTGTAATTTATTTTAAATAAAAAGCAGTCCTCATCAGATTTCCTAGCCATTAAAATAAATTCTAGAAAGGGGGATTCAGGTAAGCATCCAGACTTTTAAATAGCGCAAACCTCCACGTTTTTGGTGCTCAGCCACCCTAACTAGCCTCATGCAGGTACTTTTTACATTGGTATGTGTTCTCTCAGCTCCAGCTGGAACAGGAATGAAGGATGACGACCATAGAGAACATACTTATAGATACAGTGGCACTGACAAGCAGGTCAAGTAATTGCTATGAGGTTTTTGCAACTCAAATTACACACAGTACAATAAATATTATAATGTTCAGTTGGGAAGAAAAAAGAATAGAGTGGAAAGTATTTCTCTTGAAAATAGTTTAGTACAGATTATTTCACCATACTTGGAAAAGTCAAAGTGCTTCTATATCACAGATACTAATGCATTCACATCAACAGTTTACAACTATTAGCTACAGGTTGCAGATATCTGCAGACAGCTTGTTTCTTTCTGCATTTCTAACTTTACTTTTGTTCTCAGCATACAGAATAAATGGGACTTTTAGGGACATGAAATGAAATGCAAAAGGGAGATGGTATGTTTAAACTGTCATTTTCAAGAAAGGAAAGTGATTATTGCACTGATAGCAAAAGACACAAAATTATTGCTGTCAAGAAAAAAAAAAAGAACTGGAAATGACACAATCTATTCTCTCCTGATATCAGAAAATAGAAAAAACAACACATATTACTTGTGTTTACTTTCTGAGGGGACTTAGCCATGGGGAACATTTCTGGCCTGACCAGAGATAACAACAGCTTGAAAAGGAGGGGAGAAACTTTAGAACTGTAAAGCTGTAGGAAGGACAGGAGCTAATGAAGGAGCACGCCAGACGAAGGCTCTTACTTTGTTCTGAAGTAGAACGCTGCACAAAGCATGCCCACTACGACTATGGCGAAGGCGATGCAGGAAATGGACAGCACCTGGCGCTGGTACACGTCCTCGCTCTCTGTGAACAGCAAAAGGGAGAGTTAGGAAAGCATCAGAAAACAGCCCTGGCGAAAAGCGGGTTTCAGCACGTCGTGTTTTCGCTAACGATCGACAGATCCGAGAGGCTCGGAGGTCTGGGTCGGCCAGTTCCTCAAGGAATGGATGCTTCTCTGAACCTCTCATCTAGATAAAGGTTCAGAGAGTTGTGGCCTCCTCCAATACACAGCAAGAGATAAAAATAATGAAAATCAGGACAGTTTAATATTTTCTCTGCCCTACGTGCCATTTTTTCAGCCTTTTAAACAAAAGATTCTACCATCAATAGGATAAAGAGCCCAACAACCATGGAATTTTTCTGGTTGAAGGAAAGAACCATCAGAACTCTTGCAATGTCCCAGGAGAGTCCAAGTTCTTTTTTAGCTACCCCAAAAATGTAATTACAGTGCCTCATTCCCACGTCATTCTCTGTACTTAAAGTTTATTTACAACATAAGGCAGTAAAAAATTAATTCAATGAACCTGGAAAGAACCCAGTGAGTACTTTGCTACAATGCACCAGATATTGCTTTGATAGGAGTCTATTTTTAAGAAACAAATTTCCTTTATAAGTCTCATAATATTCGAATTAATTTTAAAACAGGAACAGAATGAAAGAAAAAAAAAAGCTAAGAAAATAAGGAAAACAGTCAGCAGAAAGAAGCTGATAAGAAACTGGAGATTCATAAACTCAAACAATAGCTTCTCAAGTGTTAATAATTACTTTTTTTTAATTATTTCAACTACTTTTCAAGTTCAAAGTGCTAACATGCTGAACAGATTGTTAGTTTTTAAGATGTTTCTCCAAGCATGCAACATATAAACCGGTATTTTCATTCACGTATTTCAGGTGGAAAGTCTACATGTAGGGTTCTCAAAGCACAGTACAAGCACTGCACACTGACAAACCTACACTTCCTTTCTAGGTTAGAGATCTTCAATGCAGACCCACCCGTCAGGATGAACACCAGACACATATGTCAAGTAGATGGCAGTAATTCCAAGTTTGTAAGTCTCAGGTTCATGACAAATATTGTATGACAACACCAAGATGAATCTAGGCAAATACTAAAAAAAAAATCTATACCTAGTGGGAATGTCAGTCAAATACTATCTGGTGTTATAATGACTAAAGACTATGTGCAGTATCCTAATGAGTACGAATTATAATTTCTCAAGAAAGTATATCACAGTGCTGTTACTGAAGATTTGGAGTCTTAAATACAATCATTTGTCTCTGGTAAGTCTCAGTCCTTTTTTTGTAAGATATTAAAAATAAAATTGCAAGGACCAAATCTTTATTTTTTAATTCTCTACTTGCTCACCTAATGAACATCACAATGACACAGAAGCCATTTCTAACGTACAATGTCCTCAGCTTCTGTTGACATTTTTTCCTCATTTAAATTTGAAATGTTACAAGTCGTAGTTTTACTATACTGTCTTAAAAATAAAAAGAAGCAAATAGACTTTTTATCCGTGTAAAATATAACTGAAAGGTTGTAATTAAAGAAGAAATCCTGTTCACATTGCAGTAAAACTGCTTCCAGTACAGCTTTAGACCTCATTCCTCATTGGCATGTATAAACCAGTAAATCCTCACTGGCAATGCAGAAAACGTTTGGGGTTTTAATTTCTTTTTGTTTGTTTGGTTGGTTTGAACACTAGCTTGTGTAAACACTATCACCCACCTTCAATTTCCACTGCAACACACAAAGGACTAATCCTACAAACTTTAAATTCATATGCTGAGGTGAGTCACACTGAAAATAATTAAGGAATTCTTCAGTTCAGCAATTGTTAACCTGTTCTGCCCGAATACTGATTTCAGCTCCTACTGCCTAAGCTACAACTAAAACATACATAATTATGAACTTTAATTTCACTTTAACTTTCCATATAATTAAATAAACCCTATTTATTAAAAGAAACTCTTTTAAGTAAGGCATGCAAACAGGCTTAATTTTGCTTTTCCTTCTAACATAAGACCTCATTAAATACTTTATTTTTTTTTCTTGTACTAGGTGGTTTTTTTTGAGAAATGGTAATTTTAATGCAGCTATGCTCTTTTGTCAGTCCTGAATAGCAATCACTGTCTTGTTAAAGATGCTTTAGAATAAGTCTTACAAAGATAAAAGCAGTTCAGAGACCAGACAATATTATCTTGCTCAAACAACTATGTGAAGATTTAAGTCTTTTGTGTAGTCAGATTAGTCCCTGTCACTACCTTTCAACACATGCTGATCAATACTCTCTTTCCTTTTTGTTTACTTTGTACAGTGCATATTTAAAGCAGTACTTATTGATTAACTGCATACCATTTCTTAGACACCTTTGTCCATTTTTTATATCCTTTAAATCTTTATTTATGTATTGAACTTCACCCATTTTTTGTCTCCAACCTCTTTAAATATAATCAGTTAGGCATTTTTCCATTCTCTAATCTTCCACACTGCCTTTATTTAAAAATCACCTTCTTATTGACAGCAATGTAATCTGCCTTTCTCTACCAACTTCTCTACAAACTCATGGTTGCCTTGATTCAACCTCACTACTGTGAGGTTTTAGTTGTGCTAAACACACATGGCACAGGTGAGATCCTCTCTAGCCAAGGAGCACTGAATAGGGCCTGAATCAGGTAGATGCCTATAGCTAAGCACTGCACAGCACTTGGGCTCTCACAGAGCAGAAAGCTGTAGAAAATCAAAGTGCAGAAAAGAGAAGAATTGCAAATTCCTTCTCCTTGGCTCAAGATGTGCATCAACTTGTGCATACACATTTTTTACACACTGAAATTAACTTTCCAAGGTAATTTAAAGCGTGACTGAAATTGCTAGTTTCTCTTTATTCACATATATTCATGTATTCCTTGTGAAGTACATCACCTCAATTACAGTCTATTGAAACAAATTCTCTTGGGAGAGGATTCCTCATTTAATGAGCAGCCAAGAAAATATTTCTGCTACAAATCAAAATATTAACTGCCATGGATATTCCTGGATAATCCATTTGAGGATTAAGACTATAGAATGTGAATTCCATCAAGCATTCCAATTACAAAAAATACACAACCTATACCAAGATAAACACGACCACAGTACTGAAAGGTAACACAGTAAACTGTTTAGATGCAGACTATTTGTTTAATAAAAATTATGGAAAGAAAGGTCTTCTCAGAGCATAAAGACAAGACAAACTCACATGGGACATAGAGCCTGCTGAAAGTTCATTGGAATGGGTTCCCATAGAAAAGTCCCTATTCACTGTGTGTCCAGTTACATGTCTAGCCCACTGGCATTTATGCTATTGATTCTTTCCAATTTTCCACCCTGCTAAAAAATTTTGTAAGCTTATCTCACACATTCACTGCTATTATGAAACACAAAATGACTACTGGTGACCCATGGAAGGTTTTGGGTTTTTTAATTCTCTTGGCCCTTAAAATTTATTCTTACAAGCTGCAATCTATTTGCTTTATGCATATGGAAAGATCTGCTGAAGCAAACACATACATCTTTAGAGGATTAAAAAGTGTAAGATAGACACATTCTTATGATTGTTATTTCCAAAGCATATGGTAGGAGTTTTTTGTGTACAGAAGCTGAAATCTGCCTCTTCTTTGTTACTTTATTATAAAAGTAAGAATGCTGGTACAAGGTCTTTCTAATCATATTATTGAGAAAAAAATAATTTAGTTAATTAAAACAGATTATTTTAAGCTTTGTTAGGACTTAAATCCACAGTATCATTGCTAGACATAATCACTGGATCCTCCAAGCTCTATTGTGTATTTTGAGTTGAAATATCTTTGAAAGGGATTTCAAATACGAAGAACAGCATGTGGCCTACGCAAAACGATAACAAAACAAAAATAGTAACTTTGCCCCTTGTGTTTATTTCAATGGCTATTGAGTAAAATCTCAATATGGTCACAAGCATCACAGAGAATGATTACTGACTATTCAAACCAAGCCAACTGAGAAATTATGACATTTACCATACGAATGCATCATTTAACCTTTGCTCTATAAAGAAAAAAATAAACCCTAAAAATGAATAAATGTCCAGATTAATTCTTATGCTGAAGGTTTTACTCACAGCCTCAAAAGTATAAATTCTAACAGCATTCAGCATCTCCTTACCTTCCTCACTCCCTCCCCCTAAGAGGACCCACTGCATTGCTGCCAAGTAACAATATGCTATAAAATAAATATGGGAAGCCCTGTATCTTGTCATTGGTACTCACGAAAACCAGCAGCTTTCCATGTGCTTTCTCCCATTGATAAATGTCAATGAAAAATTCTATGACTTATTTTTCAGCAGAAAATTTAAAGATAATGTTCTTCACCTTTTTCTTGACCCCTGCCACAGATGAGTCAACAGAGGAAGCATGGTCTAATGGACAGAACATAAAACCAGCTTTTCTTCAACAAACTACAAGACAGAATGCAGGGAGGGTTTGGGGTTTTTTTTGTCCCCATGCAAAAACTGAACCACGTAGGTCCAGTAAAGTGGGCACTGTGACTTCACTGCCATGCTTTTTTCATTTCCCTTCATTCTCTGCCACAGCATGTCACGTGGTACTGGAATGCCCTGCAGAGCCAGAACCTCACTTCTGAAGTGAACCTCAATAGTATAATTTGACACTTAAACCCTAATTTGTGTCCTGCACCCTCAAAGTCCCATATACAACAGCAGAGGAGGCCTACATGGAAACCTCATACACAACATCAAGATTTCCAATAAAATATGGATCCCCGTAAGTTAAAAGGCAAGAGAGTTGTTAAAGCATATTTCTCAATATACTTAAGATTTATGTGTGACAAGTACTGAACTATATACAGCATTCTAAATTTAATTCATGAGGAGAATAAAAAAAGCCTGCCTGTTCCACAAAATCTGTGATTGCCTCACCATCAGACATTCAACTCTCCCAAGAGTTTTCTGTTCTTTCACTTGCAAAAGCCTACTGTACAGATTCTCTGCCATATGCTGTAGCTTGTGCTAAGGCAGAACAAAACAGCTGAAATGCTGCAAGACAGAGTTCACAAATTTCTTCTTTGACCTTGGGTAAGTCAAGACCCTTGTTCTTTCTGTAACCAAAAGGATATTGCCTCTTCCATTTCAGTGATTAACATGATAAAATG